GATGTTCCCGCTGAATCAGGACCACGTACAAACATAACAAAAGCAACTTTTTCTTATTTGCAAAACTTTTTTTATTTGCCCGCTTGCATCAGTTTTTGGGGTTCCCAGAGGATGCCATCCATATAATCAAATCAACATGGCCTTAGGAAAAAAGACAAGATAAGCCTTATCCTCGCACATCCCTCTGCGGGAGCTTCAAACCCTGCCGTCAGACGCTTCTCGTTTATCCTTGGCAAAAATAGACCCCAGATAAAAGGCGCCGGGGGCCGACTTGGCCGGGTGGCGGAGGGAGGGTCGGTGTTTCTCCACGGTCTGGTGCGGGGGTCGAGACCTTGGCGCGCGCCTGTCTGATTCTGAAGACGCGAGCGGCCGCGGGAAATCTGTTTAAGTTGTTCTACATGCACTTGGCGTACGTCTTGAGAGAGCCTGTAGTATTGTATCCAGAACCGTGCCTGTTAAGTTCTATGTCTGAATGCAGAAACCACCTCATAAAGGCTTCATTCGGTGGTTATAGCAGCTGACAAGGCTTTATCACACCATATTCACCTCGGGGCGGGGCATTAACCCTTAAGTAAAAAATAAATTTTTATTGTTTAAAATTTTGGTTGCCATTTCTGAAGTTGACCGTACGGTCCAGTTCAACACGCTATTTGAAACAGTAACGTTAACTAACGCTTAGTTTAATGATTCCTCATATATCATAGTGTGTTTACTGTCTAAGTTAACTGAACAAAGAGAGCTAGGGTCATAAATTCGACTTTATGGCCCTTTCGTTAAATTGGGGATTAAGCTGACAACATGATTTACAAGTCTTCTCGTAAACAATGTCTGGTTTCGAAAAACTGAGCTGCCAAGGTCTTGACAAAAATCTGTCTTGGTCTTCGATTTGGCAAACGTCTTGAAGGATGAGGGCCGGCTTTCTTGAAGAAAGTACAAGAAGAACACTTGATTTATGTCTTCGAGTTAAAATGTCGTCTGGTTTTCTAGACGTAAACAGTCAAGGTCACATCAACAGATCTGTCTTGGCTCTTTTCTTGGCGATCGTCTTGGAAGAGTAAGGAAGACTTTAAAGGGAAGATTATGTAACTTTGGGCTTGTACCTTTGGATCTTGTGATCTTGTGGCAAGGTTGTCTGGTTTTAAGAAACTCAGGAGCCAAGGTCATGTTCGAAAATTTATCTTGTCCTACTTTTGGCTAACGTTTCAAAAACAAGGTCGGGGCCACTGCTTAGTTTCAAGAAAACAACCTAGAATTGACTACCACTTGTACTATCTGTAACCCCAATTGTACTTCTTGGACACTATTTTACAGACCATGCCTCCATTTCTTCTTTAATGTTATCCTCCTATCAGTTTTTTTTTTTTTAGAAATATCAGTTAAAGAAATTTCCGATTTGCCCTATTCAAATGTTTTAAAAACAGTATTCCGATAATTCCACCTTTCCATGTAACTTAAGAAATACGATCTTCTAACATCTACCAGTCTTCTGGAGGTGGCTGGGAAAAGCAGAAATTGACAAAAAAGATGCCGGGGGAATTGGTCCGCCAGAAAGTACATTTTGTTGGTAGTGTACCAACTCCCCTGGTATATTATCTCTCTATTTTGTCAATTTTTACTCTTTTCAGCCGCCCCCAGAAGCCTGGTAGAGGCTAAAAACGCCCGGCAAAGAGCCTGCTTCCCAGGCTAACACCTGCCGCGGCACAACACAAGACCGGCCGCATTCTTGTCTTAAGGTCAACGCCTTGGACATGTTGGAGGGAGCGTCTTATCTCAACCTCCTTCAAGTGGTCCTTATAGCTGCCAAGACACAAGACCCGGGGGAGATGTGATTCAAGGGGCAAGAGATTGGGTTTTGGGGATTTTTGGCGTGTTTTTAGGCTTTTTATCGGGGTTCTTTTTTTTGCACTGGAACTTTTGTTGGGTGAAAAAAACCCATTGCAAAAAAGAAACCGAGATAGAAAAGCCTAAAACACACCAAAAATACCCCCAAACCTCTGCTTGGAGAGTAAAGAAAACCCACAGGCCTGAAAAAAATGTGGTATTTCTGGTTTCCCGACCTAGCAAAACCCTACCGTTAAGGTGTTCAAAAACTCGTATTTTCCAAGAACTATCGTGGAACTGGTTGCCATCAAGCACAGTTGGGGTATCTAGAAAGCTTTAAACAACTCCTGCAATTAAATGTGCAAAGATTGGGTGTAACAGGTCGTTCAGTGTGATATAGCTAGCTACCGCCTCGCCGCGTGCCTGCGAAGATGGGGCTAGTGTTACGCCGAAAAAGCCACTATGTTACGCGAGGACCAACCTTTGTGAACCCAAACTTCCGTCTGATAAAGTTTACAAAGTTTCAACCTTGTCAGACCAAGGAGCCTTGGTCAGACCCAGACTCACAACTTGAGACGACCTAAAAAGAGAAAGTGAGTCTCAAGTGTCCAGGTCTCTGACCGCCAAGACGCAGAACCAGTCCTTAGATATGTCTTAAGGAGCAAATCTTAACCCTTGTGTACGAAACGTTTCCGGTCTGAGATTAAGCTTCAAGAAAAGTTGGCAGACCTACATCTCAAGACGGTAAATATGGGAAAGTCTCAAGTGGCATAATCGCCAAGGAACTGAACCCGAGTAGATATCCCTCGAGGAGGTACAAGGACCCTTGTGTGTGCGTAGAACTTCCGTTTGATAAAGTTAAATCTTCAGGCTTGAACCTTGAGTTGGGAGGTCTGAACCCGCAGCTTGCAATTGAGACAGAAGCTGTGGCGATACCTGTCAACTCAAGAAGCATGTCTGGACCTAAACCTTGTTTATGTAATGATTTCCCTTTGATAAAGGTTTGAGCACAAAGTTTAAACCTCATAACTGTTAGCAGGCCACATCATGAGACGGCAAAGGTGAGAGACGTGCTATCAGAGCCGGTATGTTATCAGCTTCAAGTGTAGCAGCGATCCTTAAAGATCTAAAAATAGCCTCACCTCAGACATATGGGACTAACCCTTTCGTAACATATCGGGCGATAAGACTGAGAAGTGGGCTATTTATTCCCGAGGGTGTATACAGTGACGGCAGGAGAAATTGTTGTGAAAACACTTTAAGATGTTTCATGTCTTGGAGGCTGTCTGAGACGTCTTGGATTAAGTCTGGGCGGGAGATGTCAACGTCTTGACAGAAGTAGAGTGAAGAAAAATACACGAAAGTTCGACTCCCTGCTTCAAAATACGCAAAGAGCACTGCTACGTGGTTTTATTTTCAGAGCATGTGCCACTGTAGCTCCCAGCACTTGGCAGAAGACTGCTAATTGTAAATCGTCATTGGAAAAACGGGTCAGAAGCAGAAGGAAGACTAGAGACTACAGGGCTGCATTTCTTAATTTGAACTTTTACGCCGAGGCTAACTAGTTACTAACTTACTACATACTTAAAAGTATACTTAAAAGTTACTAACTTACTACATACTTAAAAGTATGTAGAAAGTTAGTAACTAAGCTAACTAGTTACTAACTAGTTACTAACTTACTACATACTTAAAAGTATGTAGTAAGTTAGTAACTAATAAACTATATTCAGAGACGTCGAGAAAGAAGTACGCAAACATCTTGAACAATAACGTTGTTGCCAAAACAAGGCGCTCCGATTTTACGCCGAAGGAGGTCAGGCTAGGCCAGATGGCACCATGTCAAGTCGCTCGCCCTGCCACTTGTAGGAATGTTCTGGAAGTCTCAGAAGACGTCTCAGGATCGGGAAACATCTCAAGAAGTCGGAAGCAGGATTCCGCAAGACGAAAGGACCCAGACAGACGAACGTCTTCGGGTCAGGAGTTCAAGCGAGTCGCTAGGGTGTTTTCTCCTGTCGTTTAGAATGTTCTGTTCTATTCTGTGTAATTCTATTCTGTTCTATTCTATTCTATTCTATTCTATTCTATTCTATTCTATTCTATTCTATTCTACTCTATTCTACTCTGTTCTCTATTCTATTCTATTTTACTTAAAGTGGTGATGCCCCAACTGTGCTTGATGGCAACGAGATTTGTGACAATAAACCATAATGATAATGATGATGATAGTTCTTGGAAAATACGAGTTTTTGAACACCCCAATTCCTGGTTGATTTTTATTGACTATATTTGAAGGCATGACTGTAGTTCGGAACTTCCAGGTGCAGTTTTGTGAGTTCCATGAACCCGCACCAGACCTCGGTTCGCCCCTGACTCCTGACCCGTACCTACCCACAGCTGAGCTTGCATCAGGCGGACACGTGCGCAAGGTTTTCATGGCGCTGATACGGGAGGTTGTTTACGCGTTAAAGGCATCCAGTGCAGTTTTTAGGGCTTTGAAACCCGATTTTTCAAAGCCAATATTCTAGTCATTTATCTACATTGTCAGTATGAAATGCTGACTCAAATGTGCTAATATGAAGCAGTATGTTTCAATATCACAAAAATGCCTTATATTTAAAATATTTCCAGATTTGCTGCTCTGAAATCGCATTGGATGCCTTTAAAGGCACCCAAAACGATTCCAGGACAGCAAAACAGGATTTTTTTAAGGTTTTTAAACCAGAGCGAACCTACGTATTGAATAAAAAGATGATAACCTCTCGTTTCGCACAGATTCTAAGAAAGACGCCTTACCCAAAGTTACAAAACAACAGAGACAGAATGTAAGAAAGGAAACACGACGTTAAACTTCCTTTCTGAGAACAACGGATGTTGTGGCATGAAAGAAAAACAAAGAAATCATTTTCCACATATGGACTCAATACTGAGGGGCATCGCACAGGGCATGCGGTTAGGAAAAACAGTATATAGCACTTTCTGCGAAAAACACATTGAAGCATCAAAGACACAAAAGGATGCAAATTATTGAGTCAATAAGTCACATATGGAGCCAATAAGCTAGGATAGGAAAACAAGGCAGCTAGCCCATATCGTCTGATTATTTTCCTATTGTTCACACATTCAACGAAGATAGTGCAACGCACAAAGTAGTAACGCCAGCCTCAAGAATATACTAGTATTATTGTAATGACCACATTGTCATTGTTGCCATACCTTGTACCCTGTACAACTGTTAATGAAGATTATTCAAAAAGCAGTTACTCAAGCAACTGGACATGATTTAGGAAACGGTCAGGCGTTTCAGCCCGGTAGCATCCACTACCTCTCATCAGTGTCACTGCTTGAGTAACTGCTTTTTGGCGTATCTTATTTATTACCTGGATGTCTAACCTTCACCAACGAATAAAGATAATTCCTTCATTTACCTTATAAGTCGCCGTACGGTGTTGGAGATCGCCGTTACCCAGCTACGGGGACTGACCGGGCCGCTGACTGGGATGTCTCGGGGGCAGGTCTACTCACACACCGCCGGACCTGAGCGCGCGTTGCGGTAAGAAGACCGAGACCGAGGAGACAACTCCCCGGACGGACCCTCAGACCTTATACCTGTCTGCCTCTGACGTCACGCTGACGTCACACGTGGCGACACCGGCCGCCGACCAATGGGAGGGCGCGTTGGGGTGCCGTGCGTTTGTCTCTGATTGAAGGAAACAGGTCTTTAGTAGGTTTTCTTGTAAACAAGTTCCCGAGCCGGGTACGGCGTGAAGGGCCATGAAGGATGGGTCCCCACGAGGTCACCGGCACGATAGCCGAGCAATCAGGCTTCTCCGCGGGCCCATTGTGGGGTTCAGTGTGCTCGACTCGGAGCCAAGAGGTCCCGGGTTCGATTCCTGACATACCACCGATCTCATGCCCTTGGGAAAGGCACTTAACACGACTTTCCTCACCTTCACTCAAGTGAGAATGAGTATTGTCCTGTCCTGTATTTGTCCTCTGCGTTGGTGGCGGCATAAAATAAGTTGATATAACTTGAGTTACGTCGATGAAGGTTAGACATCCAGGCAATACGATACGCCAAAAAGCAGTTACTCAAGCAACTGGATATGATTTTGAAAACGTTTTCAAAATCATATCCAGTTGCTTGAGTAATTACTTGAGTAACTTAGGTTGAGGTCAGACTGTACTCGGAAAGCTCCAGATTCTTATCATTGTCCGGCCTGGATCCCTGAGAAACGCGGCGGAAGGTTAACGTTTGTTCAAGGCTCGAGATTAACAGTGGCAAGATAAGACTCCGTAAACACTAAATTTCTTAGAAAATCGGCACTGGTCCGAGTTGGACCCCCTAGAAATGTGGTGGAAAGGTTTGGCAGCTTCAGACATCAGGCCGAAGGCCCGCGATTTTCTAAGAAATTTCATGTTTACGGAGTCTAATGTGGTGGAAAGGTTTGGCAGCTTCAGACATCAGGCCGAAGGCCCGCGATTTTCTAAGAAATTTCATGTTTACGGAGTCTAATGTGGTGGAAAGGTTTGGCACGTCAAGATACGCCAAAAAAAAACCAGTTACTCAAGCAACTGGACATGACTTTCCGAAATCATATCCAGTTGCTTGAGTAACTGTTTTTTGTTGCGAAAGGTTTGACAGCTCGGACAGACACGGAAGGTTCGAGATTTTCTAAGAAATTTCATGTTTACGGAGTCTTATCTTGACGCTGGTCCGAACTGGCCCCCCAAGAATCAAGGCGGAAGGTCTGTCAGCTGTCTTGAGAAGTTGCTGACATGACACTTGAGAAATGGCGACTTGCCAGTTTATGTTTTCTTACTTGTTCTGGTCCGACGACAGGCATATCTCTTCTTGTCTTGCATGCCCATCGGAAGACCCCCCCCCCCAATATCCACCTTTTATGAATATCAAAGATTTTTCTTTAAAAGATGGACTGATTTGTATCACCAGCGGGGCCTAAGCGGAGGCTAAGATTTTAGTAGCCTGGATGCCAGACCCATAGCACACTAGTACTGGGCCCAAACTAATATGGCCCTAATATCCCCTGCACACTGGATATTACCTTGGGCCCAGTGTGCAGCCAGGCTAAGATTTTGGGTGCATCAAAGTCAGACAAGAAACATACTATGGTGGCCTTCCATACCGAAATCTGCTCATCCGAGTGGCCAATACTTAGTCTCCACCAGACTCCTTTTGCAGGCTGAATAAATCGTAGAAATCTACCTAAAAAGGAAAATGGGGCTTCTCTGGCCAGTTATATCCCCTTTTCAGGCCTATTTCAACGATTTATTCAGCCTGCAAAGGAGTCTGGTGGAGACTAAATACTGACTGCTTACAGCTGACAGGTGGTTTCTAGTCAAGGCCGGTCCAAGATTACGTGACTACGACTTGTCTTATTTGGCGGAGTCTAAGATTCTGGGGTGCACAAATGTCAGACATGGAACGTGTCGGCCTTCCGTCCCTACAGCTGCTCCAAGTATAGTCCCTGGGGCCTACACTGACTACCTACAGGTGTCAGGTGTGTTTTTTTTTCGAGACAAACCAAGATTGTAGCTGTGGCCTAAAAGATCCCAAAACTGAGATACAGCCGGCGGCTTCAGATTAAGAACGTAGCGTGGCCCTTTTTGTTCTTAAACGCCGCGTCGCGTGCCTGCGAAGCTGGTGTGTTATGCCGAAGGGCGGTTACACCGGCTAAACAGATACAGAAGCTGGTGTGTTACGCCGAAGGGCGGCTATACCGGCTGTACAGAAGCTGGTGTGTTACACCGAAGGGCGGTTATATCGGCTATACAGATACAGAAGCTGGTGTGTTACGCCGAAGGGCGGTTATATCGGCTATACAGATACAGAAGCTGGTGTGTTACAACGAAGGGCAGTTATACCGGCTATACAGATACAGAAGCTGGTGTGTTACTCCGAAGGGCGGTTATACCGGTTATACAGAAACAGAAGCTGGTGTGTTACGCTGAAGGGCGGTTATACCGGCTACACAGATACAGAAGCTGATGTGTTACGCCGAAGGGCGGTTATACCAGCTATACAGATACAGAAGCTGGTGTGTTACACCGAAGGACGGTTATACCCGGCTATACAGATACAGAAGCTGGTGTGTTACGCCAAAGGGTGGTTATACCGGCTATTCAGATACAGAAGCTGATGTGTTACGCCGAGGGACGGTTATACCGGCTATACCGATGCGTTATTGACAAATTCCTCTCGTAGCTGAACGCCAGACTGCCCAAAAGTCAAAACGGAACGTCCGGTACTTGGACGCTTACGTGCCGGATGTCATCAACATTGAAATGGCACTTCGAGATTTTCTTAAGTGTGATCTTAAAGCCCAACACGCGTGCCGGAAGAGAGGGAAGTGTGGCGGCCGTGAATTTGCCCCGATATTTTTACCCTCGCCTTTGGACTTGAGCTGAGCCGACTGTCGATGTTGTTTTCGTCCGCCACATTCCGTACCACCATCTGCTTTGCGTTACCGACATCGGGGCTTGGCGTACACTTGAGGGCAGGAGCCAGAAATACTAGCCTGGCATCCAGTCTAATCGTGGTTGGGGCATGTTAGTTGGGGCAGGCTGTGTCTTCGGGACTGTAATAGCTTCCCTCCGCCCAGTACCAACTACCCTGTTAGCCGTTTTCCTTCGGCAGCCAAGAGCCCTTCGCCCGCCTGTCTAAATTACCGCTACGGGGGGAGTTGAGCCCGAAGGGAATTTGGCTGGCCCTTGAACTCCACTCACTCAATCGCTCACTCACTCACTCACATAAACACACTCACTGTCACTCAAGCACGCACGCACTCTCTCTCACTCACACATCTTAAAATATAAGGTTTTTCATAAATTTATAGTGATAGATAACACTACCTGTAGTTTTCTGGGAAATGCCACACAAAAACAACAGACAAAATGACTTTCTGTATCTGAAATCTTCATTGAGTACAAAGATGTATCATAACAAATTAATATACTGTGAACCTTCCTATACCTTAACTAAAGCCTGCCTTACTTTGATACTTGGCACTATGGTACTCTGTTTAACTATATAGCACTGAGCCCCGAAAATCTTTTGCTTCAGCACAATACATTATACTTTACAAGAAAATAATAACCTATAGTATAAGCCTTGACTTGACTTACAATTTTTTACCAGCAAGCTTTGGAACATAGCAATTATGCAAAACTATCTGAACTTTCATTAGAGATATCAATATTATATTCATGTATCAATGCTAAATCTATCTATTGATACTGTGTTCTTGATCTCATTGTATCATAAACTTTCTCCTCAAAACTACACATTTGTTGAAACAGAATTTTCCACAGTTGCAAATTTCACTGCTTTTATATAAGCTAACAGAAAATGAAAACGCAACAGAAAACAGAACAAAAAAATACATAAGTCATGCTTCTTGCCTATCAAAAATAATATTTCTCTGCCACTTAAATCATATTCTTGTCTTTCTAAGATGTTCAGCATCTTCTCGTGGTCTTGGCAGCTTTTTAAGACTCCTTAAGTGCAGTTTCTTGTAGGCCCTTTCTTGAGGCAGGCTCCTCAGAAGGGGTGAACCCTTCTTAAAGACCGAGACCAGTCTAAGGACAGACTGTCACTTGACGAGCGGCGGATCGCGATTCACGTAACGAGTCCCGTATACTGTGTCCGTACAATGGACCGCTGGAAAATCTAACTTCAACATGATGTTATTCACATATGTACATTACTGTGATGCACATTTTTGATACATTGTAACTTTTCTAACCTAGATCCCAGCCATCCCAACTTAGCTAGCACCCAGGCTAGCCTCTACCAGGCTTCAGAGGAGGCTGGAAAAAGTAGAAATTGGCCAAATAGACAAATGAGATGCCAGAAGAGTTGGTTCACTAAAGAAGCACAGTTCAGAATGGCAAACTATACTCCTTTAGCAAACTAACTCCCCTGGCATGTTATCTGTCTATTTGGCCAATTTCTACTCTTTCTAGCCACCTCCTGAAGCCTGGTAGAGGTTATAACCAAGGTATGACTATGACGAAACTTCATGTCAGACATACCATGTGAATCAATGTTTTCCATATAAAGTATTTAAGTTCAAAACCAATGCTGTAAACTATACAATAACAATAAAGATGTTGACTAGCTCTTTTTCTACATATTGCATATATCATGTAGATACCGTAGGAAGACAGAAATATCACTAAAACTTGCATTGGTGCAAAAGGTCTTTAAGGTTCACTGAAAATGTTGTGATAATAACTAAGTATATGTACTGCAACAACATTAGTGATACATGTATACATGTACATGCCAATTAATGGCTACTGCAATTGAAGGTATTTCACAACAAAATGACTGAAAATACTGCAATTTGGCAAGCCTTTAATTCTAGCAAAATGCCATTATCAAAGACTACATTGTTTTCAAAGACTACATTGTAACTACCAGTGTACGTCATCATAATTATACTTCCATTGACTGGGATGAATTCTAGCTATTTAGAAAAAAAATGCAAAATTTGCCAAAATTAAAAACTTGCCAAATTCTCCCGACCTCGTCTCCAGGGTAACGGATTTGATTGACAGCAGCAATGCATGCTGGGACCAACTACAGCACTGATATGGGGAAACAGCACCCATACTCACGTGACCTCAGCTGACCCTGCCGTGACCTCAGCTGACCCCATGACCCGAGCTGACTCTGTGACCTGAGTCGACCCCGTGACCTGAGCTGACCTTTCTGACACACAGGGACTCACGACTTGGAAGACGCGGTGGAAGACTTAAAGATGGTGGCCAGATACTCCTCAATGTTGACTCCATTTTGGCGACAGCGACTGACGATTGCGTTTACTCTTTCCTCCTTCCCACCGTAGACGGCCTCGAAAAGGATATACTGTGGTGGAAAAGGCGTGTAGAGAAAAAAAATTAACAAAAAATCCACAGTTCATAACCATGATTTTATAGGATAACTTTACAAAAACAACCCTCGATAAGGATATGCTGTGGTGGGAAAGGCGTGTGGAAAAAAAGAAGCAACAAAAAATCCACACGTCACTGACGAAAGCTAGTGGATACTAGCTGAAACGTCTGACCATTTCCAAAATCATATCCAGTTGCTTGTGTAACTGCTTTTTGGTGTATCTTATTACCTGGATCTCTAACCTTCATCGACAAAAAATCCACAGCTCGTAACAACAATTTTATAGGATAAGTTTACAGAAACAACAATGATCATGGACATGGTATAATTATTGCTAAATTCAATCTCAAGTGAATACAACATTCTACTCTTTAATTTTGCCATTATTCTTAAATAACAATCAACAAAGAATTCCTGAACTTTATATTCAGAATGTAGTTTGTAAATACCTGTACCTGTAGTACTATAACTGCTGGTTAGAGTTATTGACCTAAGTTATCATCATTAACCAAGTTAAGAGATGTGATGGGAGTTAAGTTTACGTCTTTCCAGAGTGTTGCATGATGGGGCAGCAGCCTGGTTGCCTGCTTGTAGAGTCTGGACACCTGGAAATGGTATAGAAAGGAAACAGTCGAACAGAGTGACAAGAAAACAACCCACAGAATCAAGATTTCATCTGTGTTGAAGAAAAAAAAAATTATATGTGTGTGTGTGTGCATGAAAGTTCATCTGTGTTGGTACAAGTCATTATGAAATAAAGACTAAACTTTAACTGCCAACACTACAATGAATTGGGACTTACTCCAAATTTTCGGTTCACTCCGTCAACCTTGTTCACGGAATGGACCCGTCTACTCTTGGAGCGTGACGTCAGAGACACGTGTCAAGGTTGAACAAGGTTGACGGAGGCAGCCAAAATTTGGGTAAGTCCCAATTCATTGTAGTGTTGGCAGTTAGAGTTTAGTCTTTATTTCAGGATAACAATGTATTACATGTATGTGACTAGTCTAACTACACCCACCTTGTTGATGTTACCGTCCAGTAGGTGCAGGTGGACAGCACTGGAAGAGAACAACAGTAGCTCCATGCTTTAGTGGTCAGTAGTATACAGGATCACAAGGCAACAGTTAACAACTGAATAAGATGGTACTAAGACCAGCTAAGACTGTGGTGTTTGTCTGTCAGTATGTTTTCTCAAAGGCGATATTGGGAATAAAAACAACAAGGCTCCCTTTTATGAAATCTAAACAGTAGGAGGTCTCTTAAATCTACAGTACAAATATGTGGCAAGGTGAAGAGAGAAGTTTTGAAGCATTATTTTACAGCTACAGTAAGACAACATACTACAAAAATGTCGCTCTGGACCATTGTTTGAACTTTTGGAGCAATCTGCTTCAACAAAAACAAATTTCACATTAAAAGTTCCAAATAATTTACATTGCAAACAAAAACTTTTCCTGGTCCATAGATGAGACAGCATTCCTCAAATTTCTTAACAGAACAGCTCTTAACTATAAAAGTGAGAGTGTGAAAGAGAAAGTTTTCCCAGGAAACAGGAATACTGTACAGTTGCCAGAGTCCGACAGGGCGTGGCTGTTCCCCGGCAACTGTTGCTAGGAGACTGCGGGCCAGCTGGACATCATCTGTGGCAAACGCATGCTCCACAGCCCTGGAAAACATGGCAATCATGCATTCATTCATTCATATATTCATTCATTCATTCATTCAATGAACTAATCAATCAATCAATCAATCAACCATTCATTTATTTATTTATTCATTCATTCATTCAATCAATCATATGGCAGTGCAGCATCTTCCAGGCAAGGTTTTCAAGGATAAGAAGAAATGTTACGAAACTATATGAAAATTTTTTCGCAGTCTTTTCCAATTTCTGTGTTAGAAATTGATGTAACAGTTCAATCTTGAATCATATTAGGTTTGGCTTAGATTACAGCGCATAGTTAACAGAATCTCCACACACGCACTCTACTATCCACAAGGATGGGATGGCAAATGTTAGTAAGACAACGTTTTTTCAAAGTAGTTAAAGTGAATGTAGATATCAGTACTGTTACAATGTTTGCATATTACATGTACAATGTATGTAAGAGGATTCCAGGAAGAGTAGTGGTGTATTGTCACTAATTGGAGGTTTCTTAAATAAATAAACAAACAAACAAACAAACAATCAATCAAACCCACCTCAAGTTCAGATTCACGTTGTTCGGCATCATGCGTAGGAAGTTCTCGTAGGCAGCCGACCTTTGACCCTTCTCCAGACAGCCCATGAAGAGGTCAACGACCTGCAGAAGACAAGGACTTGAACTCCAAACAATGTGTCTACTGACAAACAGAGCTGGGCTCCTTTAGTACAATCTTACCACATGGCGCAAACAATGTAATAGATACAAACATTTTATTTCACGGCTCTTGGTGGCAAATGTGCTGATGTTGACACATTGGCACACCAAATCCGTAGTGTGTTTTTGGCACACAATTTGACGGACTAGCCAAAAAAGAGGCTTGATGGGCATCACTCCATCGTATAGCGGTGGGGAAGTCGTGTAAAGTGCCTTTGCCAAGGGCACAACGTCAGGGCATGGTGAGTATTGAACCCGGGACCTCTTGGTTCCGAGTCCAACACTCTAACCATCGTGCCGCTGAAAACGTTTGAAAACTTTGGACGGTTGGAAATATCACTAAAATTCATGAAGTTTGTTTCCTTGTCTTTACCCAGTCACTCACTCACTCGCTCATTCATTCATTCTTCCATCCCTTTGTTACCTTGTTGTGGAAGCTGTAGTCCTGCCAGTGGCCCCGCCCGTGTTGCCGAGGGAAACTGGTCGGCATGGAAACAAGGCAGCGATTGGTCAGCTCTCTCAGGGTCTTGGTGGCGTCCATCTTGTTCTGGCTGGACTGTAACCTTGACAGGTGGTGTTTCAAGTATCTGGAAGCATGAAAATGAGTCCCATGAACACTAGTGATTTATCTATCTTAAAATTAAATTGTTCTCTTGAAAGTGCTATTGAAGTTATTGAAAATGACAATCTAGATGAGAAAATTTCAATTATTTATATTAATTTGGCACAAAAATCTTACATAATAATGCTTTGAGATTTGCAGCATTTCCACCATACTTACTGTATCCAGACAGTCTGTACTTCTCTGGTGGAGGTAAGGCTACAGATGGCAGATTCAAAAACCTCAGCTGAGCCCACACTGTCACCTTGCAAGTCCAGCAGCAAACTGGACAGTAAAAACAAACAAGAAAAGTTCCAGGTAAGGAGAGAGATAAGTAATCATGAAAGAAGGGGTGATGTGTTCAACGTCAATTTTGTTGCACACAATACATTGTATGTAGTATATAAAAATACACTTAACTCTCATTGACAAAAGATACGTGAACACTGAAGGCCAGTCTTTTTTCACAACAGTAAAATCTGCAATATGGTAAAAATGCTGTGCATTCTCACTATATTGCATTGGACATTCAGTACTACATGTATATTGCACTTAAATAAATTTGCACATATACGTACAATTGTGTAATGGTTTACATATAGTTACAGACATTCAGAAAAGATATTTCTTATCAATACCCATAAATGAATTTTTGAGGGTACGTGAGGATCCTAGCCCCACCTGTAGTTAAGGTAGAGATGGAGCTGCTCCCCCCTCACAGTAGAATGGTCCACCCCATCAGTATAAGGTGGTGGTGTGTAGCCCAGTGGTAGGGTCTGACCAAGCAGCGTGCTGTTAGGACAAGGAAGTGAGAAAACATCTTAAACTCACAACAACTTCTTCAACATAAGTCTGGGCTGAGTACAACCTAGCAAAAGGGCTTGGTGCATGGACAGGGAAGTTAGAAAACATTTGAATTTTTTTCCTAGCATTTTACATGACAACATATTTGAATGATATACATATTGTACACAAAGAATAGTATAGACACTACTATGACATGAACACAGAGTAGAGCTCAAGATTGGTTATACAATCATGTAATTTTTAAACTATAATTTTCTTTGGTAATCATGAGACTGCATTTTTCCAGCTTGCCAAATTTGCAAGAGGCTAATATTTTCATGCATTACCTGTAGAGTCTTTGTGGTGTGTGTTCCTCAGACGAGTCTTCTACATTGAAGAAGGCTTCCACAAAGTTTGCCAGAGATCCTAGAGCACTGTCATTGTCACCCTGAAAAACACACAGAAAACAATATTTATCAGACTGAAGAAAACATGCTTTGTTGGGTCTGAATCTGAGAGAATACTAGTAGTTAAAATAAAGATTACTGACTAGTAAAAGAATCAATGTATAACAGAACAAGAAGAAATGCATGTTTTCCTTCGTACATTGTATATGGTCTGCTCTGTTAACTCTTTCTCCAACACATTCATATATATTCTATGTTCAGACAGGAATCTAAATCCCTCCTGCTATAAAATTGCAACATGATGTAACCGAAAACTAGTTACCGTGGTGACAGACGGCCTGGTTCAGGTCATTAACCTTAGTTGTTTGGAGAAGAAAAAGAAGAAACAGGGCAAAACTATATGTTTAAGAAAAGATAATTGCACACACCTGAGCGAGGAGACACTTTGCAAGGGCAAGATGTACTTCTGCACTCTGTGGATGTCTGGAAGCAGCTTCTTGGAGAACCTGAAATAAAGGTCAAGACGTTATTCCTGGCAATTATAATTCAAGGCATCTGTATCTGTACAGCCTGTATAACCGCCCCACGGTGTAACACACCAGCTTTGCAGGCAAGTGGCACAGAGGCAGCTGGCTAACACAAAACGACTTGTTACTACAATTTGTAGCCTTTGCACATCTAACTCTAAACTAAAGCTTTCTAATGATACTGCCCCTACTGTACTTGGTTACACCGAGTTCCACTCTAAGACAGTTCTAGGTAACTGAAAAAAAGAGAATACATGTACTGACATTGAGCGTGTCCTGACTGGTCCCATGGTTTGCTTCCACCTCAGCTAACAGCAGATACAGGGGAACAGAACCTGGACAGGCCTTCAGCAGTCTCTTACACACACCTCGCGCTGAACCAACCCTGTACGGGTACAACAACAGTTACAACAGTTAGAACAACAACAGAGCTGTTACAGCAGACACAGAGCCTGGACAGGCCTTCAGCAGTCTCTTACACACTCCTCGCGCTGAACCAACCCTGGAGGGGTACAACAACAGTTACAACAACAACAACAGAGCTGTTACAGCAGACACAGAACCTGGACAGGCCTTCAGCTGTCTCTTACACACTCCTCGCGCTGAACCAACCCTGCAACAAGAGTCACGATATCAACAACAACAAAGAACCTGATGTGTGTACACATGTATGTTGTGATGGACTAGAGAGGCATTGGTGTGGTGAAGAAGAGACTACAAACAGTTAACATCAAGAAAACATTGGTTTTGAACCATTCTGCTGGCACAACCAAACTGTAGCCAATTGCCAGCTGATCTATTCCTAAACAAGCCCTTAATAATATAGCCATCTGGCTAGTTGGGCTGCCCTGGCTGTACAAATTGTCTTCTTGCAGCCAAACAAATAAATAAACATGGTTGGCAGGCATTAAGCTAGCATTTGGGAGGCCAAATTCTTGACTGTGTGACAGGGGCTTAAGAAGCACCAATGTCCTAAGAAACTCATACTTACTTGTTAGACACCCTCTCCATGAGTACCAGGTTCCTGTACAAAGGTAAGCACACCTGGGTGTTCTCCTGGGCAGCCAGGGTCTTACTGGAACACGCACGCAGGGCATCTGCAAGGGAGAGAACATCAGTGGGGGATTTTAGCTCATTGAAAACCTTAAAGTTAAACCTCTGAGAATGGCAGATGTTTTGTACAGTTTGATAAACAGATGCAGCACACGATGAAATTCCACAGACACTTTTTTAAGCCAATTTTTCCTTTGATAAGTTACATGTACTGGAACAAACTGACTCAAAGGAAGGAAGACACAACAAATGACAGCAACATTTGAAGTTGAATATTGTATTCACTGGAAAGGGAATTTAGCAATAATTATTGTTGTTTTTTATTGACCCTGGAAGATTGTTGCTACAAGTTGTGGGTTTTTTGTTCCTTTTTTCAACACGCCTTTTCCCACAGTATATCCTTTTCGAGGCCATCTATGGTGGGAAAGCACCTTTATGTTGTTTGATTCTTAAACCTTACCTTGGAAGTGTGAGAGGAGACTGTCCCTCGGCGTTGTCACCCCTCTCTCTGAGTTCCAATCCATGAGGAAGGGCTCCTTACACACGAGTCTCCCCGGGTTAGAGTCAGCTGGGTCCCACAGGTGTGTGGGTAATGTGTGGAACTCCTGCAGGTTTATAAAACACAACCAGCACACCACACGGTCCGCAGGGGTCAGGTCAGAGGTCAGGGGGCACGGCGTGTCCTTGGTCTGCTTCAAGGCATCCTGCATGGGGGTTGGAAAAATGTTACAAAATACATTACTACAGATGAGAAAATAATGATTTCCTTCATCAATCAAGGCATATGCATTTGAATTTACAATACACGTTTGTAAAATGTTATTTAGAAAATGGTATTTTCGGGTAACCCCCTCGATAAGCCACTAGCCTTCTTGGGTTGCCCCGCACATTATTTGTAATTGTATATAATTATTAGGTTTACTTATCACATATTATTGTCTTTTTGGTGCAAACTGCAAATAATAAAAAATATAAATTAATAGCATAACAATCTATCAGGTCTGGACCTGGACCTGTACCAGTCCGTAAATAATTTCATCAGGTTGGTAAACGAATGAATAGCAAAGTTCTTTGGTCACAACCATTTATTTTTTACGAACCGACGTTTCGATGACCGTCTGTCATCTGTACCAGTACCTGTACAAGTCCTGATGTTACTTTTAGGTAATCAGCCCTAGACTGGGACCTCACCTGTAGGATCTGTAAAGCTTTACTCCGCCGACCGCTGACCACAGCCAGCTGAGTCCGGTACAGAAGGGTCTCTAGGATGGAGTGAGAATGACTATCTGTCTCTCCGGAGTGACGCTCCTTTTCTCTGGAGTACTCCGGGCTCCTCAGGAAGTCTATGATCTGGCAGCAGACGTTGTCTTTTGCCTCCACGGTGTCTTGTATTGACAGGTACTGTGGAACATACATGGAGACAATGGGGTTATACATTGTGCACATGTACAAATGTAGGTCAGCACTATATTTATTTATTTATTTATTTCAACACCAAAAAAGCAAACCTTGCAGCAGGGATGAGAATCCCTGAATTGAAAGAGTTTGGGTACAGAAAAAAAAAGTTACAATAGGCAAGGCAAGCAATATATACAAACCCTCATGTACACTATAATACATAAGAAAAATGTACGAATGACTATAAAGTACACGTACAGTTACATTGTATGTACAACTGCAGAAATTTGTGCTGTGAATGCTTTGTTTTGAAACTTTGTACCTCCTCTTATATTTTGTTTATATTCATTTCATAATGTAACCCAACACCACAGGATGTTGCTACAGCGCCTAGTTACCATGGTGACAGATGTCTGGTCCAGGTCATTGACTATTTGTTTGGAGAAAAAGAAAAAAGAAACAGAGCAATAACAAAATGTTTTCTTTCTGTGCAGGTAAACATGAAAAGAACCAATTGTTGTACCTTCCACCATATCCTATATGAAGGAGCGAACTCCACAGCCTGTTGGCACATCTCCTGTGTCTCCTCTCTCCCTGATCTGCGGGAGTACAGTTCCAGGTACTGCAGCCAGAGGGCCTCGCTGCACTGGTTTGCCTCCAGGCCTCGGGACAACACGTTCAGTGCCTGGTCCAGACGGGAATTCTCATCACTGCTAGATTAGAGGAAGATAAGTATAATTTTTTTTTTATTTCAACAGGTAATCACAAGACGTGGTGACAGAACACTGAAGTTTTTTCAACTTATATTAATGCCACCACCAACACAGGGGACAATACAATACTCAGTTTCACCTGAGTGAAGTGAGGAAAGTCGTGTTAGTGCCTTTCCCAAGGGCACAAGATCAGCACAAAATTCAACATAAATGCTTAACTTCATATTTGGAAAGATGGAAAAAAAGTATAATTCTACAACAATATACATGCATGCATCCAAGGAATGCCTTTTATTTGCGACCGTATCACATATGAAACACCAAAAGGGGCTTAAGACATCCAACTGACCCCGCTCCAGTCTTGAGGTACTTGTGAGCCAGTCCGATCCACAAGTCTGCGTTCTGAGGTTCCTTCAGGGCAGCTGACTCAAGACTCTCCAGCGTCTCTCCTTCTGGGACAAAGTACCTGAACTCCTGGTCCTCAGAAGGAGGTGTGACTTTTCTTAAGACATCTGTCAGGAAGATAAGAAATAAAACTGTAAGTTATGTTTAATGCAAATTTATGCAAATAATAATTTGTCTGTAGTAAGCACATTCACACCCATGAAGTTATTAGGAGAAAGCACACAAACAATGTATGCAAATTTATGCAAATAAGCATTCAACAGCTACTATATGCAAATAAGCATTCAACAGTTACTGTATGCAAATAAGCATTCAATAGTTACTGTATGCAAATAAGCATTCAATTGGCAAGTACAAACATGCATAATGTACAACAATGTACATGCTATTGAAATTGAAACCCATCCTGCTTTACACTTTACAGTGACAAAAGATTTTCGGGACACCTTTTCCAAACTTTCTATCCTCCTCTTCCTCAGAGACACACACACACACGGACACACACACACACACACTTTACTTCAGCAAAACATTTTTCAGCACCTTTTCCAAACTTTCTGTCCTCCTCTTCCTCAGTCTCCCCTTCCCTCAGTTCCCTGCTGTCTGCCTGTCTGGGTCTCCAGACACGAGGTTGTAAGAAGGTGGTGTGAGGAGGCACGTGTTTGGCGTGCTCGTTCACTTGGCTAACTAGGAGCAGGCACTGGTCGTTTGGGGACATCTTGTCTTTGTTTGGTGTACAGGTCTTCTCTACATAGGCCACTGTACAAAGGGGAGGGTATATGTAAAAATACATTGTAGTTAACTAAGCCATGAAAAGTTGCTTTGAATCAAGGAAGTTTAAAATCATGCGTAACAATCACTGACATCAATTAAAAGTTGTTAAAGGTTTAAGTTAGAGATTCAATTAACAAAGTAGACTGACGTTTTGTTAAGGTTTGTAGATAAAACCGTAGGTGGCAGTATCAGAGCAAATATGATAGATATTATACCTATAGCCTGTTGAGACTGTACAGGGTCTGTATCAGTAACTCCCACCAGAGGTGGATGGTAGGACAGTATAAGTACATACCTATAGCCTGTTGAGACTGTACAGGGTCTGTATCAGTAACTCCCACCAGAGGTGGATGGTAGGATAACAGGTCCTGGTATAACTCATCTCCTGTCAGCATAGTAGACGCAAGGTGCTGCCTGGAGGGACGGAATAGTCAAGTCAAGTCAATTTTATTGCACAACAACTGAAACAGGTACAATGTATGGCAAGATCTTCAGAGGTATATAGCTGATATCTACTCTAATGCCTACAGTAATGCTTATAAGTTCTATAAGTAGTTACTGTTACTTAGTAATTTTTATTGTTCTTGTTAAGCAATTGTTATGTATAATGTTGTTGAATCCTTTGTAACTATTAAGTTGATAATTGTATGTATTCTATTATGTGAAAGGACTCCAGGAAGATTAGTATACACAGCTTGTATAACTAATGGAGATTCCCAATAAACAAACAAACAAACAAACAAACATGTATGTATGGAGACTAAAACTATACTATTTCATAAAGGTGATTATTATGTGACTAGGCCCTAAGGTGTAGATAGACATCAAACATCAAAGGCAGGAAAAAGCTTGTCCCATAGTCATTTTGAGGCTGTAGGGACAGTGGGTTGTTAGTTCACTGTGTCAAGGACACTGTATTAGATGGTGGAGCCCATCCCTCTTTCCCAACTGAAGTCAGGTACCCATTTTAGGGGTGGATTGAGGAAAGTCACGCAACATGCCTTTCCCAAGGGCACATTCAAAGATCAGTAACATGGCAGGATTTCAACCAAGGACTTCTTTGTTCTGCACCAAATGTAACACATGTACATTTGTACTTGCATGGCTCTATCTTTACCTGCACTAAGCTGCACATTCAAGTATTTGGTGTTTCCAGCCCTAAATAAAGAGTAACACTCACCATCTGCAGTCCTGGTCGTTACAGGTGCCGGTTAGCTGAAACCTGCAGACCACCTGGTGCGGGTTGACCTTGTGGCTAAAGGTCGCAGAGGTCAAGGGCAGCTTGGACTTGGTTCTGTAGTAGGGATTGAACCTGAGGGGAGAAAGAGTGATTTTTGGTGTAAATTAGTCACTAATACTGGTAAATTTGGCAGTTATACAAGAACATGTATGCACAACTTACTTTTTCTTACATTTCTGACAAAACTCATTATACAGTTACCATCAATCAGGATCAGAAAATTAATTGATTAATGAATCCATAACTGCTGACCTGTATGACCTGAAGTTGAGCAGACAGCTGCTGTAAGGTCGGAGGGGAAGGGGCAAAAGGTCATCTGACTGGTCGGTGGGGTCAGAGGTCACTGGATCTAACCTCAAGTCTAAGTCCTGGAAATGGTAATAACAAACGTTTTGAATATTGAAAATGAAGTTCAATATTTGAAACAGGATTGAAATAATACAAATAAATCTTATTGTTCAGTCATCCATCTATAAGTATTTTTTTTCTTCTTATTCTTTACCAGAAAAGGAAGTTAAGTAATGTTACATTTTTAACAGCACTTTTACTCCAGAATTTAAAGAAAATTGCTTGTCTACTAGTTACCAATTAAGACGACAGAAGCAGCGACAGACCTTGGAGACTGGTGTTTCTAAGACACTGTACTCCTTGAGACATTGCACATGAGCTCGGATGCACGTGGACGGCAACTTCTTCTCTTTCTCTGTCTGAAGACGTCTTAGCGTCTCCATTCCCTGACCTGCAGGTAATCTCACACTCAACGTCTTCTCCTCAACAGCACTTTCACTTGTAGTGTCTTCTTGAGAACTTTCACTTTCTTGAGGAGTTCTAGCTCTGAGACGTTCGCTGCTTCTTCTCCTATCGGGTGAGAGTAATTGTGGCTTTGTGCTTGGATTTAGCTCCAAAAGTGACTTTCTCCTTTTGCTTTTCTCCTCCGTTCCCTCTTCCTTCGAATTCTCCCCCTCCACACTACTACTTGCCTTTGCACTACCGGAGTAAGAAAGACTTATCTTGTCTTGACTATAGTCTACCACAGGCTGTAAGACATTGGTTGGTTGAAGATTTTCCTTCTCAACCTCCACCTTAGTGACTTCCTTCTCTCCTCGGGGAGCTTTACTCTCCATTGCTTCTTTAAGTTGTCTGATTTTCTCGGCATATTCCCTCTCCAGTTGCTGTAGTCTCTTTTTTTCCTGTACTATAGACTGTGGGCTCAGCTTGGGCTGAGTTTTGGGTTTTTTGTTCCCCTGTTCACCAGAGGGAAGTTTCCTCTTTAGGGTAGCGGTGGTTTCTCCAAGGGTTATGGAAGACGGGGGTTTGCCTGCTGCAATCCTGGAAGAAAATTTTAACTCTTATTCAATTTATTTATAGAAATGTTTAATTTTGAAACATTTTACTTTTGACCAAGATATATTGTGGCCTCTAGGACATCATTAAGTCCAGCTTCTCTGCCTCTTTACATAGTCTAAAAAAAGGCCAGAAACAGGCCACTCAAAAGGAATTAAACTCCTTTGGAGTGGCCTGTTTCCAGTCTAACCTCTGCTGCACATGTACTGTGTAAGTCTGGTACATTTAAACACAGGCATCACTTCTACAACTACTACTACTACTACTAGGAACCTTACCTAGCCTTGTTGAGGCCTTCTACTAGCTGCTTCTGAGCAGCCTGTTTCCGGTCTAGCCTCTGCTGTACTGTGTTAGTCTGGTCCTGCAGCCTTTTCACCAGGGCACGGCTTCCCGACAGTATCTTCTCTGCAGCCTGGAGTTGCTCCTGATAAAAACATTTATAGTAAGTGTAACATTACATATCTTATATATATAAAATATACTGTAATTCACTTTGAGTTCACGGTGGCTAAATTTCACGGCGTGAGAAAAATCAAGGTGTTCACGCACTGATATGTTCACGGTGGCGGCAGGGGAGGTGTGAAGTTTTTTTAATAAAATGTAAAAACAACAGGAAGTAGGCTGTACGAGCGGTTATCGACCGAGGTGTGAAGGAATCATACATATGAACAGGTAGGTCCGCGCATAGAAACTTTTGTTTGGCAATCTAGCGCGCGTCACCGGCGCGTCGGCGGTAGCTTCAATAAAGTTCATAACTTTGTAAGCCGCGCGTGTGCGCTGCTACAAAGAGCTTTAATACTATTCTTATTAAAAATACTAGAGTAGACACCATAGAAGTACGGGCTATAAATT